TTTTTTTAAAGGTTGTGAGAAACTGTTTAATCATCTGACAGATACTTATATTTGATAAAACCTGTTTTTAGCTGAGGCTGTTTTATCCGTCATCCAGGTCTGAATATGACAGCAGGAAACATTATCACCGCCTGAGCTAAAGAGCGTGAGGAAGGGGAAAAAGAATGGGTTATATGCTTGGCTTCAGAGAAACTTCGTCCACACAGGGAACAGTAGGGAACCTTCTCAGGAGAGGCTGAGCTACTAAATTATTCAAGGACGTTTCCAGGAGGTTACAAAAGGACCCGGAACAACATGTGAAGTTCTGCAGACATCATTGGCTTCTGTTAAGCATTTAGATAAATACAAAAGTGAATAAATAAATAAGTAAAATCAATAAATACATCTTTAGAAATGAAATAAAATGTATAAATACATCAGTAAAATTGATAAATAAATGCATTCATCTATAAAAATGAATAAATACATCAATAAAGATGAATATGTTTGCAGCCTTTTTACTAATCCTTGGTTCTTATTTTGAAATACAGGAAGAAGGAAATGATGTTATAAGGTGTTTAGTGGTCTTCCGGTGTTCCAGCTGTGTTTCCGTCTGTTCTTCCACCGTGTACCAGGCTGACGGCTGCTGGAATGACAGGGGGGGGTGTTCTGGTTCTATATAAAGCAGTGATGGACTCAGCCAGGGGCCACAGGGACCCACAGCCTCAGCTGGACATTAATCATGGGAACCATCATCTCACAGATCTTCTCCAGGTTCACCTCCAAGTTTCCTGTCAGGATTTTAATGGGTGAGTTTTGATTAATTTCTGCCTGATTAAGGTTAAAAACTATTTTATTACCGGTGCATTAATATGACGACCTTTCAGCTCAGATTGTTGCTCATTTGACTCCTTATTGAAATCCATGTTTATTAGGATTATTGCAGGACATTGATGGCAGCAATAATTCAACCTTTTAAGTTTATAAATTAGGCCTTTTTATTGGAACCTCGGCTATAAATGAGTGAAATAAGTGAAAGTTTTACTGCAGCAGAGGGAAAAGGTTAAGAAACAAACTTTAAAATAGAAATGTAATCTGTGGGGAAAATGAGAAATGTTCACGGTTAATGTTTGGGGACAATAAGTGCACCGCTGATGCTTTCAATGAGATTTCATAGAAATGATGCTGCAGGAAACATTTCCACTGAATTAATAATTTCACAATAAAACCTTTTTAAGTTTCAGCTGAAGCTTGTTTTCAGGCTGTCAGATCTGATCCAGTGAAGGTGGAGAACGGAGGATAATTGTTGTGTCGTTACGCCATTGCACATTAATGTCTCATTGTCACATTTGAGTAGTCTGATCTGATATTTGGACCAAGCGACCCGGTTCCAGAACAAAGGCCTGGTTCTGACTGTCTCTCTCTCTGCTGTGTTTGTGTCTGCAGTGGGTCTGGATGCTGCAGGGAAAACCTCTCTGCTGTACAGACTGAAGCTGGGTGAGGTGGTCACCACCATCCCCACCATCGGTGAGTGATTCGAACCTGTCCTCTCCATGTTCACACTGACCGGAGCCGTTATTTAAAGTCACGTGTGTCCAGGTTTCAACGTGGAGACGGTGGAATATAAAAACATCAGTTTTACTGTTTGGGACGTCGGTGGTCAGTCCGTCATCAGACCGCTGTGGAGACATTACTACACCAATTCTCAGGTAAAACCACTACAGGCGTGAGGAGGCGTGTATGGAGAGGCTTCCATGTGAGGTCAC